AGAGGTTGTTGAGGCCCCATCCCTGGAGGTGTTCAAGGCCAGGCTGGACGTGGCCTTGGGCAACCTGGTCTAGTGGGAGGTGTCCCTGCCCATGGCAGGGGCGTTGGTACCAGATGATCTTCAAGGTCCTTTCCAACCTAAACCATTCTATGAATCTACGACCTATGCTAAACTTCATGTTGCAGAGACTGAGACAACAGATGTGCTATTCTTTCCCTGAATTAGCAGTGGAGTGATTCCTGTATTGCAGTCCAAGGGAGTATGATGTTACCTTACCTAGCAGGGAATTACTTCTGAATGCTGCGAGCTTTTGGCCAGATTATGCTGGAGTATTCAAGAAAAGCACAATAAGTTACACTCCCATTCTTGTGTCCTTGCCCAGGGTTTGAATTTAGTTATGGACCTATTAAAATTCAGTGGCAGGTAATGAAACACTGTGCATGGTGGGAGTATGTTACGTCCACAAAAGCTGCTGAAATATGTCTCCTCTTTGTTTTCAGTGAGAAATTCCTGGAAAATTGTGGGTCTTAAATGCAGCTCCTCTGGGGCAGCCTTTGGAGTGAGGATGCTGCTGGTTTTGAATGAGGCCAGGAAAAGCAAGGGAAGCATTTCTTAGTTAAGGGAAATGTGATAACTGTGGTTTCATTACTCCATTGAAAAAATGCATGAAGTTGGTAGCTGGGGGCTCTTTGAGGTTGCCAATGCTAATTAAACAATCGCCCTGTGTTTTCTGTTTAACAACTAAATTTATCAGCTTTGTCTGGTAGATTTTGCAAACTGTTAAACAAACAAAACCCCAAACCGTAAGTTTTTGAAACTAACTGTACAAAGTTGTTGTGTTACTCCACTCAGCAAAAATTTGTCTTATGGCAGAAATCAGATTATCTTGCTTGCTTCTTTGTGGATGATGAACTTGGCAAAAATCACGGAACGAGCATGGTCATCCTGAGAAAATTACTGATGTCTCTAGCAGAGGATGTCTATGAGCATGTAATTAACTGGTCCAAAGGGAAGCAACATGGGGAAAGTACAGAGCATAGCAATAAAAATACACCAACACCCTCTGTGTAGTATAACCACAAATAAACAGTAACTCAGACTAGAAAAGGCATTAAACTGTTCTCTGTAGGTGTCCTGAGATAACCCGAGTCTTCTGGTCCTGGTTGTGTAAGACCTTTGCCCTGTCTGTCTCGCAGAGAGAGAGGAAATCTGTGTGATACATTTGTCATTCATAGATGAAATCACAGACAATTTTTGTTGTACTTTTGGGAAAATTACACTTCACTGTGACTGCCTTGATCTCAAATGTAGAGGACGTTTGAATAGTTAAAGAGAATAACTTAATATTTTTATATTGCTAAAGCTATTGTTTATTTGCTGTTTATGAAAAGACATATTTGAGCAAGATGAGCTCCAGAGGTCCTTTCCAACTTAAACCATTTTGTGATTGCATGATATGCACTTTACTGACTTTCCAGAATTTATGCTTTTAAGTTACAAGTGCTTTCTTATAGTAAGATAGGAAGGGTAAGCATTCACGTTCTTAGTACCAGCTAGACTCTTTACTAAGAGTGGTAATTCAGTTTTTCTTAGCATGCTCTGCCACTGTTAAGATGAAGCTTCTTTGGAAGAATAAAGTGAATAAAAATCTGACAAAAAGCAGAAGTAAAGTGGCAACAACTACCAGAGTTACATCTGAATTTCCCAGATTCTTGTTTATCTCAGCATTTTTCTTGAACAAGAGGAAGTCAAATGGGTAGTTCCTACAATCTACACTGAGACAAAGATTTCTAGGTCTAAGTATAAATACATTGAAACTAAGAGAGGACAGGAGAGAAGATGGGACAAGATACATATTAGATGTGATGTCAGAATTCATTGTATATTAAGGTAACTTAATTATAACAAAGGCTTATTTTTATTTATTTTTAGCCATTGTTGGAAAATGGTCCAGAATGAACAAATACATGTGTATATACATACACACACTCTCATACCTCCCCCTCCCCCCTTTGTACTGGTCTCTGTATGCATATAACATCACAAACCAAAAATACAATGCAAGTATATTGTCATGATTCCTCAGGTCAGTGATTATAAAATGAAGAGTATAACTCTCCAGAAATACTAAGTAAATACAAACAGGTAAAAAGGATAACGTGGAAATCCTAACAGCAAAAGTTTTTAGTAATACTTCTGCCATGCAGATCTGATTTACCCATATTTTATCCATATTAGCCCACTAATTGGTCCTTTGCTATTAGTAGAACAATTGTTTCCAAGAAAACCATATTTTGTAGAGTAGAGGCTAACATTTGCCTTTAATGTTACTATTTTTTAAGGCAAATTATGTTCTTTTTCAAAAATATTGGTATCTCCATGAAAGTCTATGAAGATGTCAAAAGTGCTGAATCGAAATCTTTTTGGGCTGGTAGTAATTGTAACTTCACTTGGCTGTAAGTAATTACTATTTTTTTAAGTCTCATAATAGCTGCAGCTACAGAGCTGATTTAAAGGCCTTATTTCTTATTCCTAATTTTTATCATTCAAATTGCAGCCTGATTTAAATTCAAAGGAAAATGAAACAATTACATTTCCTTTTGTGTATATCAATAACGACATTTGTATTTTGAGTTTGGATAATCATACTTCCTATGTTATGAAAGAGCTTTGCAACTACTCCAACTGATTCCAGAGATTTTTTTGTCAGTTCAATTAATAGTATAGACAAATTGTTGCTTTTATGGGATTGAAAATTTTTGAGATCTTAGAAATGAGAACTTTTAATGATAAGATGTATAAACTATAAAGCATTAACAAAGATAACTCTTGGTATTCAACACAGGATCAGCAGCCCTGGTGCTGCAACTCTCTACAGTGCTGCTAAAGTCAGTCCTTAAGAGATGCACCAGTTAATAAGAAATTGTGCTTCTCTGGTAGTCATGGATTTGTGCAATAAAGAAATTCATACTTTCTTCTTGGGGGCATTGGATCTAAATTGCTCTGACATCTTTCTAGTGCCACAGAAAGTGCTTTCCTGATTATGAAGATAGAGATTAAGAAGCACTTTTATTCATGAATGGTTTAAGAAATGTCCAGATGTTTTGTGTGAAGACATTTGATTTGGCACTTCTGGCAAATCCTGCTCCTAACAGAAAGGAGATGCAAAGCTCCTCCTGGATGGGAGCAGCCCTGGCTTTTGATTTGGTGAAGAATGTGATTATTTAAAGAGATGCAGCATTCCAAGGATGTTTCTGAAGACCACAACAAAGGTTGTGTCCAGTTGTTTAAGTATCTTTTTCATTTGCTTTCAATAATTGTGTCTCCAAGTTGGGTTTACTTTCCTGCCAGTTCTGATCAAAGCATTTTCCTGATAAATGGATTTTTTCTCATTTTGGTCTGTCTGCCAATCCAAATAACAAAAAAAGACTATTGCTGATAGCTGTATGATTATATTTTAGTAATGTTCCCTTTTCTTTTCTTTTTGTCTCTCCAACAGGCCATCTGTGGAAAAGAAAAAAGAGAAAAAATGAAGTATGTATTTTTAATATTTTTCATGAATTTATTACCGCAATATGCTGGGAAATCTTTGAGAAGAGATGACAGTTACCCAAAAACATTTGAAGATATTAAAAATGAGGTAGCTGGCTATACCGATGTTGCTAAAGCGATTATTGATCTTGCTGTTCATGGAAAAGCTCAGAACAGATCCTATGAAAGATTAGCAGTTTTTGCTGATACCATAGGACCTAGACTCAGCGGTTCAAAAAATCTTGATGCAGCCATCAAGTATATGTTCAGTGCCCTGCGGGAAGACGGGCTGGAAAATGTGCATCTGGAGCCTGTGAAAGTACCACACTGGGAAAGAGGAGAAGAGTTTGCAATGATGCTGGAACCAAGGAATCACAGCATTGCTATTTTGGGGCTTGGGAGCAGTGTTGCAACTCCTCCAGAAGGTAACTCTTCCTTTTGGAATTAAGTGTCACATGCTTTTTAACACCAAAGTGCATTATACCCCAACAACTTTTTCTCTCAATGGACTAACTGAAGTTTTCTTCCTGCTATAATAGTTCTGCAAGACAAGATGCTATTTTTCTGAGTCTTTTCTGTATGACATGGCTGTGAATGATGCAGTTTGGTTTAATTCAGTTTGATTGAACCAGTCTGTAAAATTAGAGTTGATTCCTGAACTCTCCATTAAATCTATACCCTTTTGTTTGACACTGCTGAA